TTCCCGCTTCTTGAAACCATCAATTTTTCCGAAAGCTAGCTATGCACGTAAGATTGTATATTGTACAAAAATTTGCTTAAGGATGCATCAAGTCTAATAGTCTTTTTAAAAAGTGACTCAAATTGAAAATTTGTATTTTCCGTAAAAATATAAAAAAGAATGTTATATACATGAAATAATTAATTGACAATAAAGTTAAAGGTATTTATATTTAACAATACAATTCTATAGTTTACATTCTCTCATTCCATCTTAATTATTTTTTAAACATGTCTACTTCCAATTGAAATAATTTTTTATCCAGATTCTAAGTTATCGCCAAACTTTTTATATTTCAAATACAATATAGAAAAATTTCGAATTTTTTCATTTCATTAAAGAATATACTTTTATATACATCTTTAAACAAACTTGCGATTTTTATAACTATTCGCGTTCGTAATACGATACAATTAGTATCTTCGGCAAGTACCCTTAGGCTTAGCGTTCCTCGCTTTTACACTGAGTATGTTCGGCTCTCATAAGTCGGCCGCTCCCGCAGTAGTCCCTAAAAAGCCCTTCGGCGGTCGCCCAAAGTTCCAAGAGTGATACTCGAAACAATAAATTACGGACTTGTGTTTCAGCGTGGATCCTGGGATGGTTCATGTGCAAAGCGGTTGCTTATATACAGGGCGTCTCCGTGGCAGCCTCCGTCTACAGCCTGGTTGCGGTCTCTCTGGACAGGTAAGTGTAAAGCATAGTCGCACACACTTTCCGTAACAGTAACCGTCGTAAACGTAGGTTTTCGACCAATCGCGTTGCTCCATTCGATCGTCTGTAATCGTAACCATAACAATCGAGCAACGCGATTGGTGGAAAACCTTACTGTTATTGTTACGGAAAGTGTGTGTGAGACTAGTTTCACTCGTCCGCTTTTTATATCTATGTACAGAGACAGTGTGTGGATGTAGTGTATGTGTGGGAAGGTATTTAATATACCTACTCTTCATGGACGCGCTAGATCGATAGATCGAGTCGCGTATGCTAATCAAAGGCGATATCGTTTATATGTCGATCTTCTTTTTAAATCTTGGACATTGAAAGTGAGATTAAGGTTGCCTTAAATTCAATAATTGAGTGGCCATACGCGTGTCGTTATCGATACTACCGAAGTGATTTGACAAGCCCCAAGTTTTTACAGACAAACCTGTTATACGAACCGGATAAATTAAATGGAAAATTACGTATAATTATCTAAACAAGATACTGATGAATTCTTACGTTATTTTGACATGGACTTACAGTAAGATTGTTAAAAATATACAAATCTGTCCTTATGTCTGATGAAATCTAACTCTTTTCTTGCGGCAGCCCCGTAACGGGTTCCACCGTGACATATTTATCTCTCATCAGCAATGCAATGCGCTCACGGACAATAATTATAGATCGCGGCGTAACGCACATATTATCGACATGTTTTCATTATGGTATATTGATCGTAATAATGGGCACACATTATACCCACACTCCAAATTTATCATGTAATATATAATGTGGTATTAATAGGGGGAACAATGCGTTTCAGTGTGTCGCGTGATATATCGTAACACGTATCGCATTATCGGCATTATAGTGAAGGTTTATTAACTGTCGCTAATGCATAGTTTTCACATCGAACTTATTTCATATGAAAATCACGCACGTTTGCAGAAATTGACTTTTATACGCAAACGATATGTGCGCGGCACCTTACGTGACACTTCCGTTTTATGAGAGAATAAAATGTAGCCTTCGTATCTCATTCATGGTACAAATTATTACTATCTATTCACGCGATGTCATAAAGATGCACCTGTTCAATTGAATGGCGCTTGTGCGAAAGACTAGAGTTAAAAGCTCCCATAGTCTAAAAAAATTATCTTTAATCACAAATATAGCGGAAAAAAATCAGAGAGAATAAGTTAGAGAAGCGAAACTTATTATATAGGTCGTATTTGAATTTTTTTGAAGAAAGATGACCTGATATCAATTTTACACACAATAAAAGATAAGACTTTTACCGTGAATCCGAGGAACAGTTTTATAGGATCTACAGAAACGATCGATCTTCCGTGAATTGCTTAGTCAGAGGGACCGTGCCAAACTTGGAAAATTGTCTTTCGCCTACCACGTGCGCAAATGTATCTTCCAGCTCTTGTCACGTGATCGACGATGCAACCAAGTGCGCTGAAAATATATCTTCCTCCTGTCCGATACGCCTTGCAACGAGAAATAGCAGAGAAACCCCTGAGCCTGTATCCGAGAAAAATCCGAGGGGATATCGCGCATCGACTGGACCTCGCATCGAACTTGCAATGTCATTGTTGCAATTCTTTGCAAACAACCATGCGAAACCTAAATTACACGAGCTCGTTTATTTGGCGAAATAAATTTCGCGCATGAGAGGAAATATTCTATTTGCGAGCGGCATTATTTCCCCTTATTGGAAACTTTCAATATGTCGGATAAAAGCGGAGCTTCGATGCTGAAAATTTTACAGGATCTTATTTTCGTTACGATTCCTCGTAGGAATATATGTGCATCTGTATTGTAAGATATTGCTGCATCTAAAACACACACGCACTCATAACGTTCTCTCGCTATGGATGGTTAACTCTAACTCTAACTGCTATAAGAATCGTTGCGAAATTGAAGAGGATTATTTCAATGTTGTCTGTGATTTACTCAGGACATTAAGGGCCGATGATAAATAAAAGTGCATTCGGTTTTTGTACATCGAAAAAAATCTTACTAAATTTTAATAAATGTTTGTTTGAATGGTATTAACTGAATATTTGCTAAATGTAAACATATATTTATTTGATACAAGAACTATTAATTTGATTTAAATATCATTTTTTTAACGAGTAAATATTTATTTATTTATTATAAGTGAATGTTTAGTTATTACTATTTGAACAAATATTTATTAAAAGTTAGTAAATTTTTTTAGTGTATCATTTTACATTGCGCGCAAATACACACGCAGACACACCTATTCGAGGAGACTCTAAAAATTGTCTCGATTTGACGCGATATTTGATCGCACTTGTCGTGCCGCTGTTTCACGACACGTTCGTAATTCGAGTCACAATATCGCGCCGCGTTATTCAATCTGCTGTTAATTTACGCAACACCTTCCATTGATAAAAGTTTCATTTGACGCTCCGGCCGATGAACCTCTGGAGACTCTCACAGCGGCTAGGATCTGCTGCTCCCTGATGTGTGGTGTAGCGCGAATTAAATTGCTCTTCCTCTAATTTCAGATTCGCTTAGCGAATTACAGGAACTATTCTAATCTCCGTGATTTCCCGAACCGTTGCGTCGAACTTCCAACCGTAGGTTTCAAGTACGTCTAGAATAAATAATTTAATCCGCAAGGAATAATAATTAGATGGATAGTAAAATTTGATCAAAGCCTACGTTATTTAGATCGATTAAAATCTCGATATTTATTCATGATAATTTATATGAAGTATGTATGTTTATATCTGTGCCGAACATTGAATGATGTAAGTTAGTTAAGTGCTCTAAAAATTATAAATTATAAAAATGACATTTCAAGTTTTTCTTTGTAAAAATATTATATATATATTATAATAGTAATATACTATAATAAGGCTCAATAAATTAAAAAAAGAAAGAGAAAGGGCCTAAGAATAATCGTTAAAAATTAAAAATTGAAAACGTTAATATTATATATATATATATATTAATTTCATTTATTTGATAGAAATTTTTTATGATTCGTAAAGCTTCACTTGTAATTATTTAGGGAAACGCATCAAATATTTATTATAATTATTTAGTCAAATTTGGAAATGAATATTGAAATGATATTGCAATTGATAATTAATATTGATAATTAATATTGAAACGATATTGTAATATTGTGAAATTATATTGTGAATAACAAAAATGCGCGACATTTAAAGTTTTATCCTGTAAAGTATAAATATATTATATGTATGTACTACGTGTTGTATCAAATATTGGTCAGTATATCAGATTATTTTATAAATGTAATATCTTTTCTAGTAGGTCCTATATTTATAAAATTAATCGATCGATTACATTTATAAAATTAATCAATCGATTACATTTTATAAATGTAATTCTTGCTAGAGGTTTATAAAATAACTTGACATACTGACCGATATGTTGATGCAACACGCGGTATATTAATTTTATTTATTCCGATAGAAGTTTTCCATAACTCCTAAAGCATAATTATCTAGAAAGATACATCAAATATGTATTTTATGTAATTACTTAGCAAAGCATTGGCACACGGCCATCCTATTAATATTCTAAATCTTGGTGCTTGATTATCTTGCGAAATGTTTGCACAAGAGAAAGAAATTTTAAAATACTGCATTCAGCTGACATCTGACCATGGTTCTCTACTTAAAATTTGTAGAATTGCATCATAGCTTTAAATCCCGTAAAGTTTTTACAAACAAATTTCTTGCTTTCCGCAAAAATACTTGGATTCGAGAAACAAAGTTCGATCTTAACTTAGCTTTATTTCGAGACTTCATCGATAAATGCTCTCACAGCATCCGACGTTGGAAAAAATACTAAGAAGGTCGTAGATTTAGACCTTGGCTGCGTCTTTATGGAACAAATTTGCATTTGCCGGCGGACACTAGTCGCGATTTTTCTTCCCGCATATGTATCACTTACCCCACACACTCACACATTCGCTCCGTGTCAGGTATCGCCGGTATCGGTTCTGCCTGCGTATCTTACAACAGGAGTGTCTTAACCCAATTCTCGCAATAGACGCGAGGGGTTGAAAGCACATTATTGGCGAACCGGTAAGACGATCAGACTAGTATCGCGGAGACGATTGGTCCACCAGCTATCCCACCATGTCCAGCGATCGGCTGACTCAACTAACTGGCGCCTATCGTCATATAGATACCTCAGGTCACGTGTTCAAATTTATGACGATTTTAAAAAATTCTATGCGGTATATAAGACTTCCAAGTCGCCGAAACGGACATAAGCTGTCTTTGCTTCCAAGAAGTAACAAGCTATCCCCAACCAATCAACATGTTCAAGCTGGTAAGCTAAAATTTCATTTTATTTTATAATCTTTCTACACACACTGAGAAAAAAATGCTGTTGATTCAATCAAAGTCTATATTACAGACTATTACTAACATAAATGATTAATTCATGTATATTTTTATTGACTAAAGGCATAAATTATTATTTCAATAATTAAGGCCTTTATGTCAATAAAAATATACATGAATTAATTATTTATGTTAATGACAGTCCGTAATATCGACTTTAATTGAATCAACAGCATTTTTTTTCTCAGTGTATATATAAAAAATTTATCTAATTATAACCTTTCTAAATTTGTCCGCGAGTTTCTTTCTTTGATTACAATTACAAGACGTTCGAACGGAACAAATGGCGATCGTTTCCGCTTGTTTGTCGACCATCGCATCCTTTGTCAACTTAACGTACCGATTGACTATCGATGAAAACGCAAATACCGTAAAGTACACGCGTCACAGATATTCTAATACAATCGTCGATCGATTTTCCGAGATGTAAATTTTCCACAAATAGGACGGCAATATTTCCGCTGACTGATTTTACGGAGGCATCGTCGCGATTACTCCGGTTCGTTCTCTCTCGGATCTTCGTTGCAAACATGATTCCTACGTCATGTCGTCACCCGTCATTCATTGATCCGAAAAGAAGAAATCATTACGGGAGAATCCGTCAAAAGACGTTACGGTTTTAGCGAGAAACGCGCCCGTTATCTTTCAACTCCGAGACGAGATATTCTTTTCGCCGGCTCGGAATGACGCGTCTGTACATCCCGAGTAAACAGTGCCTCTAATACACGGCCGCTGGGGACTCCTTTCGTCCTCACTCTCGCGCCTCCTATGATCGATAAAGAGACGGGCAGCTATCCCACGGTATGCATATATGTAAACACAAGAAAAAAAGATTCCCGGCCTCTCCCACCCTTGGCTTTCGCGTTTGCTGTGACCTTTCCGCTTTGGCATGCGAGCGTGTATACGACACGACGACGAACCCGCCCTTACACCGTTCACCGGTCTCACGGCGCAATGGCATCCGAGTCTTTGCAGCGGAAATCTACGCGAACGAAATCACTGAAGCATGCACATTGTTAGCAGTGGTGGTGGTGCCGCCAACGTCACTGCCACCAAAGCGGAATGCTATTTGCGTGTCGTATTTTTTTAACGCAGTTCCACCGACCGACCTCGTATTCTCTGTCGCGATTTCTTGCGAAACGATGCTCAATATTGGACCCCACGCGTTTTTAATCGACCGATTCGATTAGCGCGACGTCTGATATGATCGAGAAGATCGGATAATTGTGAAACCAATTTGAATATTCATATATAGATATGATTGCAATAGTTTAGCCGTGCAATTTTAATTATTTTACAATGTTGTTGTTTTTATAAACAATGCGGTAAATTTTGTGTAATTTTAATTATTGTCTTTATGAACAACGTGATGAACTTTCGGTGAACCATGAGTTACACGGGACATCCAACGGAAAATACATACGCAAGCTCATCGTAGGATAACTTTCGGACGGATTATTATAGAAGACTATTAAGAAGAGCGGTATGTCTCTCTAAATCCACCTTACAATCTTCTTCATAGGCTGTCTTCGCTGCCATCCTGGCTGTCGCCGTCGCCTACCCCGGTGGTCTCACCGGCGTAGCCATCAGCCATGGTCTCGGCCCGATCGTCGCCCCGCAGGTCGTTGCTGCTGCTCCAGCGATCTCCCACGGCGCCGTTCTCCTTGCCCAGCCCATTGCTCCCGCTGTTCACACTCCCGCTGTTGTCACCAAGACCGTCTTGGCAGGCCACGGTTATGGTTACGGTCTGCACGGTTAATTTAGGAGAGCCAGCGTAAACTCACCACCACACACAACCACCGAGTCACGACGACGCAGCCCTGGAAGAACAAAAAAAATACATCCCCTACTTCCTCGTAATGTGAAGGAAAGACGAAAAATTTAGCACGCAATTCTCATCGCCGATTTCGACTTCTTCACACTTTATCGCCCTTCTCCAGTGAACTATCAGGCCCAACGCTCCGCGTGGGATCGGTCAAATTCCCGTCTCCCCATTTGTCTTTTCTTTGTATTTCATTGACAAAATTTTCGGACTCTCACCTGGATCATTCCGCCATCATCCCGAACCCTTCCCTCGTTCATATGGAATTTTAATAAAATTTTAATTATAAACCAAATTGTGTCTTATTGTTCGCGCAATTCCTAATCCCAGAGGTAGCTCGCTCTAAATAATAAAGGAAGATGAATAACGCTGCTATAAAGATAATATCCTTGCTGGCCCTGCGAAAAGATTTTTATGCCTTCCGTTCGCCATTCTGCGTCTGCCGACGTTATCCGACCTTATCCACAATATTTCCATGCTAGTAGCAATTTTATTGAACGCGCACGTACATTACTAAGGGCGCAATAAACCGGAGCGCGCGTAAACGTATTTTTTTGTTCTCCCGACATAGATATTATAGATACATCGAAGCATAACTGCATCTTGTTTGCATACAGACAAATGGAGTACAGTTAATACACGCCATCTGTAACTAGTGCAGAGTCCGAGTGTTGCTTTACGAGCATCTCTGCGAATTATTTCTCTTTTATCCTTCGTCCTTCCGAAAGTATTTCTATTCGACGAGATGTTTGCTACGTTGCATTCGGTTTATCTTATCAGCTGCCACGTCGAATATTCCGCTTGGAACGAGTCATAGGCGCAGGAAGAGTGTTAAGTGTCATTTTATGGCTCGTATAAAACTGACATTGGGATTTGTGGAAATTAACGAACAAAAGGGACATAAAGCCCTTCTTTGTAATCCCGTTTTTATCTAAAAATATAAATCCCGATGATTGTACACGATGCATTAATGCATTTTATTTCTCACTTGTTTGATTTGTGAAGCTCTCTTATTTTCACGTACTTTAAAAAAGTATAAATTCTTTTTATTTATTTAAGCAAAGAGACAATTTTCTGAGGAAAACTATTCCCGTCGCTTATACTTATCATCCGTATGGAGTATAAGTTCTCCAGTTAAGCCAAAATATCGAAGATTGTCAATTTTTGGTGATAATGTAAGATAAAGATACATTATTTTTTTCTTCAGTGATAGTGTAAAGAAGTAACAGTCCATATCATATAAAATACAGTTAATTCCTTTTTTCTAATTAAAGGAATACTAATAATAGTTGAAGTAATCTGATATTATTATGCGTTATTATCGTGTAATATTCTTTATCAGAATAATATATGTTATACATGTTAATGCGCATTAGTATAGTGATATGTTCCTACACGTATCTTACATAGAGGATAAGATAAACTTTCACGATTTCTTGTAAATTTGTATGCGTAACAAAGTTTCATATTTAATACGCCATTATGAATTATAATTAATAAGGGAATTTAAATGTGACATGTATTTCTTATATGTATATATATATTTTTAAATTTAAACAGATTTATCGTAAAATGTTGGGTACCACAAATGTACCCAAAATGTTCAGAAGAATTTCTTATATGCTGAAGATTTCAGAGTAACTAATATTTTCCGGATAAATGGAATAACAACCAAACAAAATTATATTTAATAACTTTATAATAGTCATTAAATGGAAATGGTTATTTTTTAACGATTTTGTATGAAAATTTTTCATATTTTACGCGATATCATATAAAATTATTTATAAATTTAACATTACATATTTTCAACACATTTTTCTTTATGTTCTTATATAATTCATGTTTTCATTCATGTATCTTCAGGTTATCTAACGATAAGTTATGGGATTGAGGCTCATTAAGATTATAGATGATCCAAAATAAATCGTCGCGAAAAGAGAAACATTTTTCCCTTTATGAGCATTTAATCTTATCGCTTCACGCTTTTATTCACATCTGTTTCCTATTTGCTTCACATTATTTGTGCGGAATTGTTTATTGCGGCATAGCGCATACCGCAGAATGCGAGATCAAAATTTAACATACTATCCTGAAAATGTATCGTTGGCAGATATAATGGGTTAAAACGGAATTACTTGTCCGCGAACAGCGCGATTATGCGGTATAATGCGTGTTGTTTCATAAATTTTACCGGCGAACAAACGGACGAAATTGATGGGCCGCTCGATAGCGCGGAGTCTGCCAAAAGCTCGGACGAGAGATCCTCTTTCGCGAAGCAGTATTAGCGGATGTCGGCTGGAAAAGAGGATGGGTAGGAGAGAAGGCAGAGGGAAATTGTCATAGTCGAGCACACTGCGGCGTTTGCGACAAGAGAATATTTTATTTTAGAAACGTTCCACGATTCAGAATCATTTGGCGCGTTGCGGTGAGTCGCGTTATACGAGGAAACCACGATTGTGTTGGCGATCCACTGAATAGTCTGGATAGTACGAATCGATGTTAGTAAGCGTACGCCGAGCCTGGATGAAACTTGTTGTAGTAGCCATTATAATAGCCGTTATAGCCAAGGTTATACGCCAAGGGAACCGGCTGATATGGGTACACCTTCACGTACGGTGCAGTGTAGATCACCGGGTAAGGGGCCAGCAATGGCGGCAGAGGACCTGGTGCCGGTGCTGGTGCCGGTTCCGGCACCGGTGCGCATGTGACCGCTACCACCGAGATAGCCATTAGAATCTGGAAAGCAATAAGGGTGATTACATTTTGAAATCGAAACACGTCACTTAAATCGCACGCCCGGTCTGCTCATCACCCTTCCCCCGTTTCGTCGTTTCCCAATTCTCGATTTTTATGGGCACTATGAAAAATGTCGAGAGTGTGCTTGAGCGAGCAAGTGAGGCGCATTTAGCGTCGCCGATGACTTTGGCGACGCCTGATCGGCCCGTTTTTTTGCAACCGCGAGCTCGATATCACCTCGCTCCAATTAATCACCGGGACGATCGCACGTGCCAAGAACGATCTCTTTTTTCCATTTTCCTCGATCTGCGATGATAGCGCCCTGCTTTTATTTTTCTTCTTTTTCTTCTATGGTAATTCAATTATCCGTTCAACACATACGTCCCGCGAAAATTTCGAAAACGTTTCTGCGGTACTTCGATTTTGACAGCACTGTAATTTCACGATAACGTTTTCCTCCTTCCATTCCGGATATTCCGCTTTGAAAAGGATTACACGGATTGATCGATCGTGGACGCTTTTACGTATGAAGCGAAATGTTTGAGCGTTCTCGATTCGGGAGAACTCGAGGAATTTATGAAGCGAAAGCGCTCTGTCGATACGTTTATTAGCGAAATTGAACAGTACTCTGTAGTCGTAATGTTAGTGCTGGCGCAGAATGTATTCCGTACTCGGATTTTATTCCGAATTTTATTTGATGCACTGAACAAAACTTTATATCGAACATTAAAGATTGTGCTTCAATGATAATTTTGATGTACGAATTTTTCGAAAATCTCATATAACGCGATACTTTGTACCGATGCTTCAGAACTAAGGCTGATATTCATAGTTAGTTCTTATATTTAAGACTGTCTTAGGTATAGTTTTAAGATGCCATAAACCAATCACAGAATCATTTAGGCACGATGAAAGGAATAAGAAATAAGGAATATTCGATAGGTTGAAATCTATTAATCCTTGTTCCTTATTCCTTTTATTGTACCTTTAACATCTTAAGACATTACTTTACAGACCAATATTTTATAGGCCGGTATTCATAGTCAGATCTTATATTCAAGATCGTCTCAAGTACAGTCTTAAGAAGTTACGAACCAATCACAGGCCCATATTAGCGTCTTAAAGATAATCTTGAAATAAGAATGGACTAATGAAATAAATACCGCCCATAGAGGCCCTATATAATCAATTTTTATTTCAAGACCATCTTAAGTAATGTCTTAAGATTCTAGTACGGCTCTCTGGCCGACATTCATAATCCAGTCTTACATTTGAAACTATCTTAAGTACAGTCTTAAGATGTCACAATCAGAAGACTGTATTAAGACATTATTCAAGATCTTAAAATAGGTCTTAAAATAAGAACAAACTATGTATACCGCCCTCTGGTTCATGACATCTTAATATGTCAGTCAGTAAGATTCTTAAATATAAGAATCTCCATGAACAAATATCGATCTATAAATACTGGCCTAAGTCGTAGAAATATCCTCGTGACCGGAAGTGAATCGGACACACTATAGATAGATGTAGACAAACGAACACGCACGAATGTATACGATGGATATACTTGCCAGTTTGAACATGTTAAGCGTTTTATCAGCTTTATTCCCGTTAAAGAACACACAGGACGACACTGTTCGGTACTGCAGTTGCAACTACGGGAAATCGATCCCTTTATATAGATACATGTCTCCGGGATCATCATCGCGAACGTCTCATTGTGTTCGCCCCACCTCGCGACCATAGGTAGCCTTGGGCAAGCTAGATTTCCGCGTTGGCTATTTTTTTTAACTTTTCTCGCCGTCTGGCTCCTCGCCGTTGAGTGGATATCAAACTCGGGGGAGGTTCGTTGTTTATACATGATACATATCGAGATAAGTGCGGTGTACACGCGCCGCCACTCGGAAGTGACGCGGTGTTCCATGAGAACGTTTGCAGATCGGTATCGGACGCATTGATTTATGGAAGGTCACGACGACAAGTATTTAAAGTTTATTCATTGGATTGAAGGTTACAACGACGAAGACGCAGTCGAAGATGCCGATAACACGGAGAGAAGGGCGGCGCTTGTAATCGCGGTATAGCGGAGGCGGAAAATCCGCGACTGTTGGTGTGAGTGGTAAAATGGCGACTTAATGAATCCGGAAGCTGTATGGTCTGTACGGGCGTTGCGAGAGAGAAACGTTCATTAAAGATAGTATTCGACGTTTCTCCGTGGGCGGGGACCATTTAATTAATGAGGAAAAAGAAATACCCCCGCCTTTCGCGCGACTCGACGAGTGTCCCGCTTTTATGGCTTCTTTACATCACAAAGACGCGCGCGCTTTATCCCGCGCGGATCTCCTCCGAATCTGAACGTGCTTCATCGTCGTAAGACTCTGAAACGAAAGAATCGTCAATTGCTCTCACCTTGCGTCGCCGTCGTCATCGTCGTAGTCGTAATCGATGGTCCGCGCGTTCCAACTACTTTGATAGCGATTTATGCGATTTTTATCCTATGTTCTTATCTCACGTTCTTAAATACGGGCGAACGTAATTTATATGATTTTAGAATTTAACGAATAAATTGCTCTTCCCCATATTATGTCATTATTATTTTCCTGTATCAATATACATATTTTATATGAGAAAAAAAATTGATTTTTTTAATTAAAAGGGACTATTTTTAATCCCTCTCTCTTTTTGTAAATTGCTTTTTTTTTAACAAAGAGAATTATTTTATAGCAATTTTTTTGCAAAAAATCGATTTTTAGCGAATTTATTCGGAGATAGCACATCCCTATTTTTGTACACATTCTAAAAAAATACAGTAGTGTTTATATAATTTTTACTGTGTTGATATAAACAGATAAAAATGTCTTTCCATGATACATGAAGCTAATACTTGTATACATCAAGATATGTAATTTAATGTAAAAAAAGAATAAGTACTAGTATAAGAATAACATTAACTGCCATTATAGAGCCAATAATCACGCTATAAGAAAAATGGGTATGGAAATTTAACACCATGCGATGTTTATATAAAATTCTCTTGTTATTTATATTAATACTAACACGGTGAGAACATATAATCACTGTATAGTGTTAATTCCCCACCCATATTTTTTAGAGTATAATTATCGGCTTTATAATAAGAGTCACAAAAATGTTATACTTATTTTTTTCTCTTACATACATCACATCACATATGTTTACTTATACAAGTATTAGCTTCGTAGAAAAATTTCTAAGACATTTCTATGATAACAACTACAATTACTTCTGAACTTATTATTTTTTGTTTTAGAAGACTTGTCTTAGAATGTTAATAAATGGTTCGTTCATTCACTTGAAGGTGATCAGCTCCATCGACATCGAAACATGCCTCGACAGATTTTTCTCGAAATAATCCAACTTGTCTTAAATGATCCAGACGCTAAATGAGAATTCTTGAGTCATATAAGACGTGTTACTCGTATCTATTCTCATATACAACTGGCGGCATGCCCATCGAAGCGTGACGGGTGCGAGTGTCTTTCGAAACAGCGAATGGAATATTTGTTGGCAGTTCCTTATGTAAGGCTTAAAAATGGCGACGACCGTACGAGACGGGACAGCAATTTTCTACGCGCGCGTAGGTGTCCGTGGCTCAACCGAACCTGTCCTGGTGCCTGTAAAATGGCTATTCTGCATTCTTCGTATGATACAATAAATTAAACGGTTATCTAACGCGCAAGTATATTTTGCGTATAAGTGAGGTACAAGTTTATCGCTAATAAGGCAGACGCCAATAACTAGAAACCTTGTCTGATCAAAAGATTTCACCCCCTTCTTATATCCTTTTACGCTAAAAATCTTGTTTTTTCGCGACAGGCTTGACGTATATTTTAATCATTATTTAATAATGGAATGGTCATTACTTGATTCCAATAGTTATTATACATATACTTCTTTTGATGTATTATTGCACTAATTATTGCATATGTATTTCTTTTGAAGTCTTATTGCATTAATAAATTATATGGGAGATAAAACCGCGCGTATTTACAAATTCTTTTTGTCTACTTCAACAAAATGAGATTATCGCGAGATGTTGGACCAAGAATCTTTGGTATACCAAATAAATCCTACTAATGAATACGTAAAAGAGGCAATTTTTAAGGCTGGGTTGTTTCTACCTTTTGATAAATCTCAGCTCTTTCTTACTCTTTATTGTCTTATTCTTTTATACTCTTACTTATCCATTATATATCACATAATTTATCTGAAGATGAAACAATCGGCCTTAAATGCTTAAAAATAACTTGTTGTGATATAGTTTTACATATCTCGAAAATTTCCAATTATTTTAAACAAATATATATATTATATTTAGAATTATTTCAGATGAATATATTTTTAATTTTATGAATTCTCTTAAACGGATTCTCAATTTAAATTTAATCGATTTGTATGATTGTATAAATGTAAATATCTAATATCATTTATTTACGCTATAACTTTTAAACTATACCTAACGATTTTTACGCGATTTAAGCTTTTATTTTTAAAATTAGCGAATAAAATGGTGGTAATAATTAACGACTTCTGCGGTTTATCTTTTTCAGGTTTCTGGCAATCTGGTGGCCGTTAAAATGTCAAATCACGAAGCGGCGAGCTCGCATGATAATCGTCGTAATCTGGTTCATCGCTTTGACAATGACGTCACCCTGGTTGCTATTTTTTGACTTGGTCTCCATCTACGACGATGATCCCGATTTACGTTTCTGTTTGGAAAAGTGGCCGCATCCTAAGGACGGCTCACTGTTCTTTCTGATTGGCAATTTAATTCTTTGCTACGTGTTACCGATGATACTCATATCTCTCTGCTATATTCTCATCTGGATCAAGGTGTGGCGCAGGCATATACCCACCGATACCAAGGACGCTCAGATGGAGAGGATACAGCAGAAGTCGAAGGTGAAGGTGGTCAAGATGTTGGTCGTGGTCGTGATACTCTTCGTCCTCTCATGGTTGCCTCTTTACGTGATCTTTGCTGTAGTCAAACTGGGTGGCGACGTGGCTGAGAGGGAGGACGAAATCCTGCCGATTGCCACGCCGATCGCCCAGTGGCTGGGCGCCAGTAATTCCTGCATAAATCCGATCCTCTACGCTTTCTTCAACAAGAAGTACCGGCGCGGCTTTATCGCCATCCTGAAGAGCGGCCGGTGCTGCGGCAAACTCAGGTACTACGAGACCGTCGCGATGATGTCCTCCTCAACGAGCATGAGGAAGTCCTCTTATTATGTCAACAACAATAACAACTCATCGACGAGACGCTGGCACGGACCGCCGGTCCATCAGGATAGCAACGTTTCTTACATATTCAATCACACTGGTGTGTAATTGTAGCCATGTGACTCGAAGGTGCCCTGAGGTAGCCTTTACTGTGCTGATTTGATACCCGATCAACGGTAGACAAACTGAAAGAGAACGCGGTGGCCTTTGCATCTCGATCGGCCACTTTAACGCATGGTCAAAGCCAAAATCTGGCCGAAGTCAGCCAGTCCGAGAATTATGGGTCATCTTGTGGATGATCGACATGATTGTTACTCGGGCCGGAAATCGTCAATGGAAAAGAACGAGAGCCGGAGGAGAAGAAGCCTTTCCCGACAGACCACGAATCGTCGCCCTGCCATTGCCCTTAAGAAAGACATCGTTATTTGGATTTTGTCACAATGTTAGCCACTGCGTATCCTACGTAATATATTCTAGTTGTTAAGACGAGTTCACCGCTGCGAGCGCGCGGTTGTACAATTGTTCGTCCAACGACACGACGAAGTAGCTTTCTAGGTGATCCAAGAGATGAGATTTACGCTTCAATGAACCTTAGAACTTCTTCTATGTTCGAGATATTTGTACGGTACGTTTGAACGAAGAGTCTAGTTAAGTCTACCAATTAAATGTAAAGTAGGATGGGGTTTGTTACGATTGCGGCGGATGCATGCACCCTTGTATGTCGAGTACGTCAGTACGTAATTAACGCGACAGCGGTGAGTGGCGATGATGTCGGGATGATGACTCGTGTGAGCGCGAATATGAATTGAGTCGTTGTCTCTTGACAGTAGACACACTGCACTTCCGTCATGACAAACAATTAAGCCGATCTTCATCAGTGAGATGCAGTAATTAAGGGGGTAGAAGTGGAGGCGTGTGCACCAATTAACACGGAGCTTTATCGAATATACGACGGAAGACACAGCATAGTGTAAGACTCGATTTTGTTTAGTATTTCACACGAGTGATCTTCGAACGGAACAAGACATTGATAAAATAAATCGCATAAGGCATTATCTACGCGTGTATCTAATATTGCATATTCATTCGTACACGTTTCGTACACGTTGAGATCACCAGTAGCACTAAAAATCGAGATTAGATAACACGAATCCATAGCGAGACGAACGAGCATATAATAATTTGCAGATTGTCATTAATGGTTAATATTGTGATTACGAAGAATAGTTTGTTTATATTTTTCAGAAGAAACTATTGGTCAAAATGGATCATGGTTGGTTTCTTTGTAAGATTATAACTTACATCATTCTCAATATGTATCTCTAATATCTATTTAAATTTTTCATTCTATAATATATTTATTCTTAGAGTAAAATAAGAATAAAATTAATTTAGTAGTAATGA